AAACTCAAAAAGTGCCACCCTGAAAGCTCAACAAAAACATTAAAATTAAAAAAAAAAAAAAAAAAAAAAAAAGAACAGCTATAAAAGAAAAAAGACGTATAATTAAATAAAGACAATTATAGTAATATAGATTTACAAAAAAATTGATTTATAGAAAAACAAAATTTTCCTTTTTAATGAGCAAACGACAATGCTCTTACAAACTAACACTTACTATTTTCAGAGATATTGTAAATATACTTTAAAAAAAATAAACAAAACTAGTACAATAATATTAGCGCTGATGCCGCAGGTTTCAGGTCGGAGTGCCGGAGGTGCTTGGTTGTTTGTAGGGGTTCAGAATCGACTTTAAACCGTAGGTCCCGGTCTAATATGACGATAGAACATTGAGCGTAGTGCTGACAACCATACCCCGTAAAAAGAAAACATTTTCTGTCTCAAAATCTGTCAGTAGGCAGACGACTTTGGCCACCATGAGGTTTGTTCCAAAAAAGAAGATTGATTTGGTTTGTCACTCTACTGTTATTTTTTGCACACTTTAGGCTAATTAGACAGGGACCTATAGTTTGGGGAGTCTGAACCACTCACAAATATCCATGCCACCGCCAGGATTCGAAAACGTTATTGATTTGGTTTGTCTCTACTGTTATTTTGTGCACACTCTAGGCTAATTAGACTGGCACCTATAGTTTAACATGGAATCCGAACCACGCAGAAACATCCATGCCACCGCCAGGATTTGAACCTGCAGCCTGTGGTATCAATAATTAGAGAGCTAGCCAATTTGCCATAATGCCGCCCAATGAAAGTTTAAACATAAATTAAAACAATCTCTTTTGAAGTTTCTTTTCTACAAAATCAAGAATAACTTTTTTAACTAACTTTTTTCGGCATTCTCATAAAATGTTATTCCTATTTGTAAATTTTAGAGAATCTCTACTTACTCAAACAGAGTGCCTCAGTAGCTGCATTGTAAGAGTATTGAGGTGTTCTGCTAGATAATCCATCTTGTTTATTTGTCCTACATTTAATTTCTTGCTAGAAGGAGTTAGCACTATATCTTATTTATCGTCTTAAAAACGTAGAGGTTCATAATCTGCTTATGGCTTCACCAAAGCTTTATCATTTGGGTTAGTTACTTCGAGCATTATTTCTTTAAGGTGTGTTTTATTTGATAGTTTAGACTTAACTTAACATTTAAAGTCATTGCCATATTTTCCTACGTTGGAAGGTCAACTTAAGAGATCATCTAATTGAGACGCTATATCATAAGTTCTGTCAGTTTGTTAAGGCTCCTTCACACCGAGGCTTGAGGCATTGAAGCGTGAAGCGTTGACCAATCACTAGCCTCACCGCTTTCGCCTGAAACCGGTTGAAATCCATCGCTTCGAGTTGACCAACTTTCAACTCTCAAATACTTGCAGCGTCCTGTGACTTGGATTGAGCCAATAGTAGATCTGCCATCTAGTAGAAGTAACTGGAACTTCACTAGGATTAAAGCGATTTCTGACCCTTCGGTGTGGACGGGTCGAAATAATTTTCCTCACTGCCGCGTGACGCGTCGCCGCCTCACGCCTCTGTGGGAACGAACTTTTACTGTAAACTCTTAATTTCGACTTTCTTTTTACTTCAATTCAAGTTTTCAGTTTTTAATCGTACGAATATGTCCCAAAGATATTAATATTTTTTTTAGAAGTGATTTTGAATCAACTCTATGACTCCACCAAAGTTCTGAAAAAGTTTAAACTTAACCAATTAAAGTTTTAATTGACTGATGAGAATGAAGGTCACATAGATTTTGGTTAAAATGAAGATCATATATTAATATTTTTTAGAATTGACTTTGAGTCCCTCTGACTCCACCGAATTTCTAGATGGCCAATTGACTAGCGCTTTGATTGTTGGTACAACAGGCCTCAGGTTCGAGTCCTAGCAGGTGACATGTTTATGAGTGGTACGGAATCCATGGTCAACTGTAGGTCCCCATCTAGTTAACAAGTGTATAAAAAAATGACAGTAGAGCGACAAACCAAACTACTGAATTTCTAATAAAAAAGCTTGAATTTGATCAGTTAAAATTTTAATTGAGTGATTAAAATGAAGATCACTTGACTTCGATTAAAATGAAGAGCATATGACTTTGATTAAAAGGAAGGTCACAAAACTTAATTGATTAAATGAAGGTCGTATGAATTCGATTAAAATGAAGGTCACAAAATCTAATTAACATCATGTTTGACTAGACAAAACTCTGTTATTTGAAAAACACATTAAAATCACGGTGGTAGCATCGAAAGTGATCTCTGAAGATTTTTCGGTACCCTGTATATGATAAGACAGCACTCTTGACATGTTAGATATCTAATCGACTTCGTTTTGTAAGTTTCAAAATCCCGACTCCCGAAAAAAATGTAGTGCAAATAAATTTCATTTCCACAGCAAGCTTCTCAAGAACAGGATAAGATAAGCTTTTTCTATGAAACAACCAGGATTCTGTTAATACTAATGAAGATAAGCTATATTTCTAGGCAAGAGGCAATTGTTATGTGTTATTGCTGTTGGTGATCACAGATACTACTGCAATTTATTGCTACTTATAGGATACTGCAGTTATAGCTATTGCTGCAATTTATTGCTACTTATAGGATACTGCAGTTATAGCTACTGCTGTAATTTATAGAAGGATTAAATGCATGTAAAAGATTCAACCTGTTTTATTTCCACCGAGTTTTTAGCAAAACTTTACATAAAACAAAACAAAACAAAAAATTTGTTTAAGTTGAAGAACTATCTTAACTTTGTCCGTTGTTCATTGGACAAAAGTCTAAACAGTTATTTGCGGAAGATAGTAGTAAAAGATACAATGGTAGAGAAAAATTTAGTAATTCCATTTCATCAATTTTCAATTTCGTACACTATTTTTAATAACAGAATTGGTGTATTATGCTTGTATTGTACATTAATTTGATCGTAATGATTTGGAAATTTCAAATATTGAATTAGTTGATGTGTAAGTTAAAATAGTGTTGATTATTATGCTGTTGATAATTGTTGAAATACTGTTGATAATTGAATTATATATCATATAATACATTATTATTGCAATACATATAATATAATACATTATTATTGCAATACATAACTGAACGGCTTCATCAAAATATATCTTTCTACAATATGATTATTTTTCTTCTTCTTCATGGGGCGGCCTGAAGACCAATTGACTTGCGCTTTTGCTTTGGTACCATAGACTTCAGGTTCGAATCCTGGCGGGGGCGTGGATGTTTGTGAGTGTTCCGGAATCCACGTTAAACTGTAGGTCTCGGTCTACTTAGCCTAAAATGTGCACAAGATGATCGTAAAGCGACAAACCAAAACCAAACCAAATCTTCTTCATTGGCGCAACAGCACCCCCCCCGGTGGGCTAACGCCGTCTGCCTACTGGCAGATTTCAAGACAGGGCATGTTTTCTTTTTACGGCGTAGGATTGTCAGCCGTACGCCTTACAGCCATATTAAGCTGGGACCTACGGTTTTAAAGTGAATTCCAAATCGCTACAAACATCCATGGCATAGCCGGGTCTCGAATCCAAAACCAAGAGTACTAGTTACTCGGCCATCAGACCCCTGATTATTTTTCAGGATCTAATTAAATCTGTTAAAGAGATAGATGATTGATTTATGATTTTGTTAAGAATGTCAAAAATTCCTCGGTATGATCCTATTCCTCCTGATAAAGTTTCTATTAAGCAGTTTTAGAGTTATAATTTTTATTTAATCACTGATGACATCGTAATATAATTAAAAAATTTAAATAACTGGTCAAAGATGTCAAATGATAGTATTACTTAAAAATTAAAATAATAATCCAAAATATTGTCGCATATTGTAAAAAAAAAAAAATGCTAAAACCTTTGGTTACCATTATAAAAAATAGCATCTGTTGTAGATCATCATAAGGCACGAGGTTCAGATTTATTAATATTGTTCTTAATTGAAAAAAACATAACATGCAAAAAAATCTACCAGTTTCTAATTTTTTAACTTTTTACAGTAAATAAATAAATAAAAACTGGATTTCATGGAAAGTAATATTCTTTTAGGGGCTCCAAATAACCTTGCTATTAGTATAACCTACATGAGTGATTATAAAATTTTGGGACTAGATCTACAAACAGGAACGCTGATAAATTAAAATTACTATGATACAGCAAAATCAAATAATAACCCAGAGGATAAGTATTAATTAATTTTAAGCCTCATGAAAAAAACACTTCTTAAAAACAGGTTAGATCTTTCATTAATGTCACGATGACAGTTAATATGTGATCATTATTGTAGTTAGGCATTAAATATTTGTAGTTACTGCAATCTTTTGCCTATAAGCCGTGATTTATGCACTAAAAAAATCCACGAAATCTCGGATAATGAAATAATAGGCCCCTGCGTACAGTATGTGGACATTTTTTTCCTTGCATTTTTATTAAAAATCTATTCTATAATATTTTTTTTTTTTTTGCTCATCAAAAATTGATGAAAGTTTTTGTGAAAAAAAATAAAATAATCTTTTGTATATATAAAGAAAGAAATATAATAATTGTGGACAAATGAAAAACCCTTTACAAAATTAGATAAAAATACGGGGCCTGATGGTTGAGTGACTGGCTCTCGGTGCCAAAGCTTTCGAGTTCGAGTCCCCCCCAGTGCCATGGATGTTTGCAGCGGTTCGGAATCCACTTTAAGCCGTAGGTCTCAGCCTAATAAGACTGTTCGGCGTTAGGACCGACATCCTGCCCCGTAAAAAGAAATCATCCCCTGTCTCGAAATATGCCAGTAGGCAGACGGATTTGGTCCACCATGGGACTGTTGTGCCACTGATGATGAAGAAAAAGAAAGAAAATCATATTGCAGAAAGATGTATTTTGATGAATCCGTTCAGTTATGTATTGCAATAATAATGTATTATATGTATTGCAATTATCTTCCGATACCAATGGAGCCAACGGCCATACCATGCTGAATATACCGGTTCTCGTTAGCATCATTGGGCACGGTCAGTACTTGGGTGGGTGACCACCTGGGAACACAGCGTGCCGTTGGCATTCCTGATTGGCCGAGTGTCTGGCGCTCTGGCTCTCGGTGCCACAGGTTCGAATCCCGGCGGTGCCATGGATGTTTGTAGAGGTGTTCGGAATCCACTTTAAGTCGTAGGTCCCAGTCTCCTATGACTGTAAGAGCGTCACGGAGCCAAAGTCAGACTTCTACCTAAGGGTGCTCCATCACAACAAAAGCTGCTTCCTTCTCCTTCAATCACGAGTACGCATGGGCTCGTGGGCTTGGCCAGCCAAGTGGGATAAGAAACAACAACAAACAACAGCAATTATCTTAGAATAATGATGATCCGCGTCCGTAGCTTATCTTCAAGCTACACGCACCTCCTGGGTAGTGCTAAGTGAGTAACTTCGGTGTGGCGCTTGCCTTGAGGCATCCAAGACAACTGTCTAAGTGTTTGCCAGCTGCATTAGATCATAAAGAAAAACAGCAATCACAAATAGTTTCATGACACTTATCAATTGCTTCATGCTTAGAAATATAACTTATCTTCATTAGTATTAACAGAATCCTGGTTGTTTCACAGAAAATGCTTATCTTATCCTGTTTTTGAGAAGCTTGCTGCGAAAATAAAATTTATTCGCAATACATTTTTTTCGGGAATCGGGATTTTGAAACTTACAAAATGAAATCGATTAGATATCTAACATGTCATCAGTTCTGTCTTATCATACACAGGGTACCAAAAAATTTTAAGAGATCACTTTTGATGTTAACTACCACTATGAGTTTAAATATTTTTTTTTTAAGTAATAGATTTTTGTATTCAGAGTCTCTGTGTAAGACGAATTGATCCATTAGTTATCATTATTAGTAGCGGTTACCCTATCCTCCTGTGGAATCTATTTTTATTTTACTGTTTTATATTAGGTTGGGGAAAAAGTAATCCATTATTTTTTCGATAGATGGCTGTAGTGATCGATATCACGTAAAGTATCAATTAAACAATTTCAGATTTATGCTCGTTAGAAAGGTGGCACTTCGTACTAAAATAATTCTTTTTCTGTTTTTTTGTTTGGTCCATTCAGTTGGGAGTTACAGGGTGTTAAAAATGGAAGTGAACAAAGAGAAAATTCGGTACATTTTACTGTTTTTCTTTGACAAAGGTGAAAATGCAAGCCAGGCGGCTAAAATTGTGAATGGTGTTTATGGTTCCGATACTGTAACAGCCAATTATGTGCAATTTTGGTTTCGTAGATTCCGTTCAGGAATTTTTGATGTTAAAATGCACCTCGCACAGGTAGGCCGGTCGTCGAAAATGTCGATAAAATCGGAGAAACGATCGAAGTTGACCGGCATGTTAGCAGTCGTAACATCGCCCAGGTGCTAAAAATCGACCATAAAACAGTTTTAAACCATTTACACAAAGCTGGATTCAAAAAGAAGCTCGATGTTTGGGTGCCACACCAATTAACAGAAAAAAACATGATGGATCGAATTTCCATCTGCGAAGCCTTGGCCAAACGGAATGAGATAGACCCATTTCTTAAACGGATGGTGACTGGAGATGAGAAATGGATCACATACGATAACCCTGTGCGAAAACGATCGTGGTCAAAGAGCGGTGAAGCACCTCAAACGGTGGCCAAACCAGGACTAACGGCCAGGAAGGTTCTGTTATGCATTTGGTGGGACTGGAAGGGGATTATTTATTATGAGTTGCTTCCATATGGCCAAACGCTAAATTCTGATCTCTACTGTCAACAACTGGACCGTTTGAAGATTGCGATTGACCAGAAACGGCCAGAATTGGCCAACAGGAGAGGTGTCGTGTTCCACCAGGACAACGCTAGGCCACACACATCTACAGTGACTCGCCATAAACTTCGGGAGCTTGGTTGGGAAGTTTTAATGCATCCGCCATACAGTCCGGACTTGGCACCAAGCGATTATCATCTTTTTCTTGCATTGCAAAATTTCTTTAATAATAAAAATTTGGCATCTAGGGAGGATTGCGAAAATCGACTACTAGAGTTTTTTGCAAATAGAGACCAGGACTTCTATGAGAGAGGCATTATGAAGTTACCTTTAAAATGGCAACAAATCATACAACAAAACTTGTATATTTGACCCAAATCGGACAAACCGAAGCATGTTAAATCAAGTTCTGAAGTTCATATAAAAATAATGGATTTCTTTTTCCCCAACCTAATATTATTCATTTCCTTCATAAAATTTTGAATTTGGGGACATTTTCCTTAACCACTTATTTCCTGTTTTTTTTTGATAACCCTGTTTCTCCTACTTATCGCCATGCACTCATTTTGACCTGGATAGGAGTTTAAGGCCCCCTGGGCACAAGGTACTCCGATAAACTGTAAAGACTGAAAGACTAGTCTATGTGTATCTTTTGTATCCATGAAGGTTAGTTTTTGTGACCTTCAGGTGACCTTCATTTTAATCAGTCAATTAAAACTTTAATTGGTCGAGTTCAAGCTTTTTTAGAACTTCTATGGAGTCATAGAGTTGATTCACAGTCACTTCTAAAAAAATATATATTAATATCTTTGGGTCATATCCGTAGGATTAAAAACTTTGAAAGTCGAAATTGAGAGTTTGGAGTAACAGACTGACAGAATTTATAATGTAGCTCCTCTGATTATTAGCAGGTAATTGCATAATTATTGTTACTCAATAAAGCTCATAAATTGCAATTATTATCAATAATATTCTTGAATATTTTCTTTTTTAGTGCTATTCACATATTGCTATAGTAAAATACGCTGAATAAACTATAATGGAATATAAAGGGATGAAATAAAGCTCAAAGATTGAGAAATAAAACTTAAATTGCTGAAGTTGGTGCTAGGATCAAAAGTTTCAATTGAGTTTGTTCTGCATGTAATGGGATTTATTTGGATAGTTTATGAATCTTTGAATGGTAAATCAAACCCATTTTAGAATTATGATAATTCTCCTGTGTGACATAGCTTCTGATCTGCTCGATCAAACATGTCTGGACATGTTTGGTGTTAAGATAAAAAATTTATATTCATAGTGTTAAGATAAAAAGTTTCAGTTGAATTCGGTTTGCATTTAATATGGGATGTACATTTAATATGCATTATATTATTTAGGGATCATTGAATGATTAATCATTTGCAATATTAAAATAAAGGAGAATTATCCTGTCTGACATGGCGGCCTGATGGCCAAATGGTTAGCGGTCTTTGGTACCACAGGCTTTGGTTCGAAAGCTGGTGGTGGCATAGATGTTTGTGAGTGGTTTGGAATCGGGACCTGAATGGCAGAGTGCCTAGCGCTTTGTGCTACAGGTTTCGGGTTTGAGTCCCGGCGATACCTGTTTGCAGTGGTTCGGAATCCACTTTAAACAGTAGGTCCCGGTCTGCTATGACCGTAGAACGTCACAGAGCCCAATTACCCACATCATCTTCTTCTGTCTCACTCGGCATCGTTCCCAAACTGTAAAGGGGCAACTCAGCTCTAGGCACAGTAATGTGGTGTGGTGTGGTGTAGTAGTAGTTCGGAATCTACGTTAAACTATAGGTCCCGGTCAAATTCGCCTAAAGTGTGCAAAAAAATGACCGTAGTGCGACAAACCAAACGAAACCTATTCGACATAGTTACAGATCGGCTGGATTAAACATGCACAGACACGTTTGATTTCACACATGTGTAGACTTCTATATAAGAATATTTGAAAAACAAATATGCTATTTCCAGCATTTCAACGATGTATTTATTGCAACATTTAAAATCCTTATAGTTACATATGAGTTTGATATTTATTTATTTTTTTAAATACTTTATATTTTTATTTCCAAAAAACTCCATCATTTCAATCAATATGCAATCTCAGAATTAAAGGAATTCTATTTATGGTACAGCATCAGATCCGTTCCACCATACATGTGTGGACGTATACCTCACACATGCGTGGATGTCTTCTATAGATAATTGCGTCAAAAAAATGTGCTATTTCTTGAATATCAAAACTATATATTGAGCATTTAAAATCCTTTCAGGTGCATATAAGTTTAATAAATTAAAAAAAAAAAAATACCTTGTATTTTTACTTCTATAGAACGCTATCGTTCCACCTAATATGCAATATCAAAATTAAAGGAATCCTAATTGTTCTGACACAGTAGGTGGCGCTGCAATCAGGTTCTTCTGTACGTGTGTTTGTCACTGAACTCCTTCTAAAAGGTTGACCGATTTTCATGAATTTTTTTGTGTTTGACAAAACATGGAGAATGTTTTTAAGCTATCCTCTTTGTTGTAAGTCGCCACCAGATGTTGCTGCAGTAATCCCTACCAATCGTTATGAAAATTGGTAATAATATATATTCGAATAGGGTAAATAGGTTCGCGCTATCCACTTTACTGTTACATGCCACCAGAGGGCGCTGCAACATTTCATCTTATATACCGTTCAAACGATATTCATGAAAATGAGTATGCACTTATATTGGAACACGGAGAATATATTCTCGATATGTAATTTACTACAATGCATTCTTTTTGACTGGGTAACGTATGCTGGGTTCTGCTAGTATGCATATGCATTTATATTTATTAATCAAAAATATGACACGATAAACACTGATAAAAATATACAGTAATAACTGACTTAACAAAAATAATTTCCTTTAAAGAATGAAGCATCGAAAATAATTTTATTTATGGATGGAAAAAAAACGACAAATATTTAGAAGCCTTAAATTTAAATGTATTTAATTATTATTACTGTATAGTTTTTGATAAATTTTCCTTTAGCTTCCTAAAGGTGGGTTTCTACAGGATACTAAAGTCACACATCGTAAAACCCCAGCTAAAAGGGAAGTCTAATCTAGGCTTAGAAGACCACCTAGGCTTAAAAAAAACTCATGCGTACCGAATTTAATCAGTTTTCAATGTATAGTAACCGCGAAAAAGGGGATCGGACACCCCACTTTGGCCTGGGGAGGGGGGGAGGTGATTTTGTCATTGGCTCATCTTCTACCTGCGTACTCAGACTCAGAT